ACATGTTAAAACCTTAACATGGTTTGGAGTTTCAGTTCAAAATGAAACACTCAATCATAAGTTTATAAACATTCAAATATCATTTATAATATAACAAATATAATTTTTAAGAGTTTAGAAAATTTTGCCTGTTTCGAAATTAAGAAACCCCACCTCATGAAAGGTATCACTCGGAACTGCCAAAAATAAAACAATATAATTTTTTAGTGAAATTCCACACATAAGTACATATTAACTAATTAAAAATGAATATAAAATTAGTTTGGTCAAAATTTCTCCAAAAAATTGGTTTAAACGGACATGAGAGATCAAATAGTCAGTTCAAACTAATCAAGGCCTCAGATTAAAGAGTATAAGGTACCAGACCCTCCCCTAGGATGTGGAGAGTCCAATCCCACCAAGCAGAGGTGGAACAGCCACCACGCGTTCTCACGTGCCGTGAAGGTGGAGTGGCTAGCTTCTCCCCCTTCCTCCTCTTTCCACCTTCTTCTCCAAGTATAACCTTAATCCTCTGTAATTTCAGCCAACCACCCCCCTTCATAGTCTTCACCTTCCTTGTTCTCACTTCACATAACACCAAAAAGGTCTCAAACCTATGTCAATCTTTTCTCTCTCACACCCCTCTTTCAAACCCTATAGCCCTCTAAGTTCAATTTTCTCTCATACCCCACGAATTAAGAGTCAAAGTAGGCCCAAAAATCATATTTCAACAAAGTTGACCAAACCTATAAATTCATTTTGACCTATCAAATGGTCTCATTTTTCAAATCTAACACCATTTTTTGATTCTTTGACTCCAAATTAGCTATAGACCCAACCCTTTTTGTTAAGCAAGTTTTTGAAGAAACCAACTTTCAAGATTCAACCTCCGAGGGTCTCATCATACACATTTGCACACCACGAGCATAGCCATACAACTTACAAAACTAGTCCACTTCAACCCAAGAACAAGATTAAAGACTCAATTGAACAAGAAGTACAGGGCCGGTCCTATCACAAGTCCAACAAAGTCTGGGCTTTAGACTCCATGTTTTAAGAAGGCCCCAAATTTTTTAGATGCATAGTTAGTCCAAATCAAATATTTTAAGTTCATAAGATTTTAGGCCTTAAAAAAAGTTTTATGAAAATTTAAATTCAATCAAAAATAAATTTGAGTAGTTTGGGCTCATAAACCCAATTCATATTATTAAAAATATTCTAAAATAAAATTTTTTTTTTAAAAAAAGAAAAAGCTAAGGGTTAAAAAAATAATTTTAACTAGTCAACCAAAACACAACATTTATTTGTAATCATTCTTCTCTCTAGTCTCTAGTAACCTAAGACTAACCCTCTCACTCACTCTCTAGTAAATACAAATTCTCTTCTTTTTTTTTTATTTCTATTACAAAAAATGAACCATAGTATTTTTTTATTAAACTATAAAAATTAAAATCACTAGATTATGATTGTTTAAAGTTAAAATTGAAAAAAAAATTTTCTTATAAAAAAAAAAGATAAAAATTTTCCTATGATCAATTATTACAAAAAAGATTAGACTACTTTTAGTCTAAAAAATAATTTTTAAATAAAAAATTATTAATATTAAAAATAAAAAGCCTCATTTGTAATAGTTGCTTTAAGTCTCAAATTATTTTGAGCTGCGCCTCCCAAGAACATAGGTCTAGCTATGAAACCCGTTTAAAGATCTGAAATCCACTTCAAATTTAACACTCAAATTCGACAACATGTATCACACCAAACCCAAGTCAAAGCTCGNCCAATGATGGGGGCTTGGAATGCCCGGATACATACGCATGACATTGCATGTGTTATGGAAGTTCAGGATGAGGCTAGGGGTTAATATTGCTTGCGTGAGTCTCATCTCATGACTTNCGCCGGTGAATTCCTTGATGAATTTAGAAGCCTTTCACTAGGGGTGTTCAAATTTTTGATTGACCGCAAGTTCCGACCCTACCCTACCTTATTGAACGGCTAATCANTGTATCACACCAAACCCAAGTCAAAGCTCGCCGGTGAATTCCTTGATGAATTTAGAAGCCTTTCACTAGGGGTGTTCAAATTTTCGATTGACCGCAAGTTCCGACCCTACCCTACCTTATTGAACGGCTAATTACAAAAATCGGGTAGGAATAAGGAAGAGTTTTTGGTCTTTCGACAATTTTTCGGTAGGAATGCGGAATAGACATTCATTTCCGCATTCCTATCCTACCCTACCCGCAATAAATTTTAAATATATATATATATAGTAAAAAAACCCTAATCTACCGAGTCCCAAGATCGCCTGCTCCTAACACCTCACTCGGTCACTCCACTGCTCCTCCTTTATCGTTCCAAACTTCCCACCCAGGTTTTTTTTTTCTCTTTTTCTGTGGTGTGGTCTGGCTTGGAAGGTTTGATCGCAGACCTTCATCTACAGTAACTGATCGGTTACATGATTTATGGTGAATTAAAGTTTAAAGTTTAAACTTAAATTAATTGTTATTATATTTATGTAACAATTATGGTGGATTGATGTTCGTACTTTTTTGTATTTTATTATAATTCTTGTTGTAATTGTTTTAGATTTTAGTGTTAATTGATTTATTGTGTTGTTAAATTAGTGCTTGTTATTTAATTAAATTGTTGAAATAATCCAAAAATTAATTGTTACAAAAATGTTTATCCGACTTCCTACCCGATTGATCGGGTAGGAAGTCGGATAAGAATACCACAACTGTCGGATAAGGTAGGTTAAGAAAAAAATTCTTCCGCAAAGCATCGGGTAGAAAGACGAAAGAGCATATTTCCTACCCGTAAGGTAAGGTGAACACCCCTACCTTTCACGTTGACCATGACCCTCGAAACAACTTGAAAACAAAAACTCACTTATCTCTCTTTCTTTGATTTCCTCTCTCCTCTCTCCCTCTACTTTCTATTCTCTATTCTCTCTCTTTCTCTATATATCTATCCATCTATACTCTTCCAACACCTCCAGCAGGCTTATATTCAATCCAGAAAAACACCTTGCTACTTGATGGCCTTTGCATGGCCAGATAGATCAACCTCCAAGAGCTTCCTCTTGCTTGCACAAGAAAAGTGCTTGTGGGAGGGGCATTTTTCTGTAATTCTTGATTTTTTAATGAAATTTTTTTTTTTTCAAACATATTAATATAATATTTTTAAAAATACAAATTTAAGTCTTTCCCCACTTTCACACACCCAATTAGCTCATGCACTCGAAATCCTAAACCTTTAACTAGCTAAGTTTTCGTATAAACCTTAATCTGTCTAGCTCGGTGACTCAATTCATTTTCTACGACTTACTCACTCAGTGCAATGTCAAATTTAACTTCACATTCTCTCATTCATCTTATTCACATACTGACCTTGCCTTATTGACATAACTCTCAAATTNTCAGTGCAATGTCAAATTTAACTTCACATTCTCTCATTCATCTTATTCACATACTGTCTGACCTTGCCTTATTGACATAACTCTCAAATTAACCTTCCAAGACCTCAATCGTCATACTTTTTTCTTTTTTTTCTATTTCCTATCATTCTCTTGCTAACCAAACGAAGTTTACGGGGCTATCAATACTATATTTGAAAATTGAAATGAGAGAATCAAAGCCCGTTCACTGATACACTTGAATTCTTTCCAATGACTTCAATTTTTCATCTCTCATGAGATCCAAACATAGAGGAAGTATTAAACTTATCCAAGGTCATTAAAATAATACTTTGTTCATTAGTATACCAGTCTTATAAACCTATTCACTTATGATTAGTTCTAAATTTTATGCTTTAGTAACTCATCCACTTGTTTACCGTACACAGGGTGTGAAAAGTTAATCAATATGCTTATCACATTTTCTTACCTAAAAACAGAGTTAAGAATGTGAATAAGTATGAGAAGGAGCAACCTGTTCACCAACCCCCCTTAATTTTGTCTTATTTATAAATTGAGCCGCACCTTTGGATGACTAATTCAATGAATCGAGTGTGAGGGTATTTTTACAATCGTATAGTGATCATTAATCGCCAAGTATGTGTTATAGCAAACTATCGTGAGTTTGGATTGAAGTGTGTGACCGTATGTTTTAGTTACCTCGTGCATTTTAATGTACACCCATGATTTAAATTATTTTAAAGTTAATGTGAGACGAAAGATTGTTGCCATATAGTTTGCGAGAGTTGATCTCAAATAGTATCTAGGGGTGAGTAGGTTATTATGCAATTTAGTAAATCCACTCTTCATTTATAATAAGCTAGATCTAATTTCAATTGACCCAATTCTATATTAGTTTGAAAAACAAAACAATTCTAAACAATTTTTTTGTATTAATTTAGCCTGTCTACTATATAACAATCTATCTCAAAGTGGCCTTTTTGTACAATTTGGACTTTCCGTTAAAGTTAACAGCAACTTTGAATGGAAAGACTACATTGAGACAGGTTAAATAGTTGAGAGGCTAAATTGATACAAAAAAATAATTTAAAGACCTAATTGATATAAATAAAATAAGTTAGGGGTCATGTTGGTAGTTAATTCGAGTTAATTTTAGCTGGCCCGGCCCATGAATTGGACTGTGATTGTATAGGGTTTCTTCAGGATAATCATTTTGGCGCCGAAACATGTAAGTTCCCGCCATTTGTAATATCCAATTCACACTCACTGCGAGCGGAGATCTACAGAGTAAGTGGGCGTGTCTGTGAGCGAGAGAGAGAGAGAGAGAGAGAGAGAGGGAGGGAGGGAGACATGGAGGACGAGCAGTCATTAGTAGCCGGAAGGCGGAGGAGCAGGGGAGCAGAAGCAACGGCGCGTGCGGGAGCCCTCGAACGCCTCAAAGCCCTCCGACGGGGTGGCCGACGGTCCGCAACCGGCGNAGCAGTCATTAGTAGCCGGAAGGCGGAGGAGCAGGGGAGCAGAAGCAACGGCGCGTGCGGGAGCCCTCGAACGCCTCAAAGCCCTCCGACGGGGTGGCCGACGGTCCGAAACCGGCGGATTCCAGGTCAAAATGGAAGATCCTATTTACGATACAATCGACGAGGACGAGTACGAATCCCTCGTCGCGAAACGCCGCGAAGAAGTGAAAGGATTCATTGTTGACGATGATGGCATAGGCTACGGCGACGAAGGTCAAGAAGAGGATTGGACTCAAGCCGGTGGGCCCCCATTGTCGGATGAGTCGGAGGGAGAATCGGAGAGACCGAAGAAGAAGAAGACCGATAAGAAGGAGACGATTACGAAAAAGCCTTCGGCTCTCTCAGCTGCCGCGGCTTTGATGGGTAAACAACGGATCTCTAGTATGTTTACGTCTTCAGTATTCAAGAAAAATAGGGATGATAAGGTTAAGAATTTGAGTTGTGAGAGTATTGTTGATGATGTGATTGCGGAGTTTGCGCCTGATGAGGCAGATAGAGAGAGAAGGAGGAGGGGGCATGTCAATTTAGCAGTTCCTGTGAAGAGGGAGCCAACTTGTTCAGTTGCGTCAGTTAAGAATGAGAATTTGCCTACTGAAGGTGTTAATTCGATGGGTAGGTCTGAGATCAGACTTGCTAATGAAACCAATAATCCAATTGTTAGGCCTGAGACTAGTAACGATCATACACATGGTGAGCCTCTCTTCAGTAATGTGCAAGAGAGTGGTAAAATTGAGGAAAGAGATTCATCAGGGGAATGTGAAAATGGGAAAGATTTAAATACCGAAATGAGTAATGAATCGGTGGTGAAATTGTGCGATTCATCAGTGAAGAAGAGTGAGATTGAGGATGGCTTGTTGAATGGTGTTGAAATGAAGGCCGAGCCAGGATTTAAGAAGAAGTTTTTTACTCTCAATGCAAAGATTGAAGAGGAGAAAGATCTGGCATTGAGTGCCACAGCTGGGTGGCAGGCAGTGAGGAGTATGGGTAATGGTGGTATTGATTGCAATGGGGCGGAGGTGAATCCCACTGATGAAAAATCGGATTTTGAACTGGATTCTGATGGTTCACTGCCATTTTACATACTTGATGCTCATGAGGAGTTTTATGGGGCTAACCCAGGCAATCTCTATCTCTTCGGGAAGGTATATTGGCATTTTGTTAATGTCAGACATTCACTTTTCTGCCCTTTGAATTGACATTTCTCTACAAATTTCCATATATCCATAAGTTTTGAGCCTGATATAAGGAGCATTATTTGATATTGTGGTTTTCATATCTGTATCTTGGTAGAGATATTTTATTCTGGCAGAGAGAAGAATGGTTTTATAGTTAACAATATCCAACTTTCCATCAAAAGCTATACTTTCACCTAATCCTACTTATCCTGCCCCATTTCAAGAGCAATCAATGTAAAACAAAGATGACAATGTGGCCGCAACCAGCATTCACTTGTTTTTCAACACTGGTAAAGAAAAGAGCCACAACCCAATGCCTGGCAGTAGTAGGTGTAGGGTACTGCGGTTGGTGAGACATTTCAAAGATAATGGTCAAAAAGAATGAAAGTCAGTGCTTGACACAAGCCTTAAAGAGGATACCAGCAATTACAAGTTGCAACTGGTCTTAATAGTGTTGGAACATACTTGATATTGCTTGCTCTGTCAGAAACAAACCTATTCATTTTTATATTGATTTATTTGATGGACCATAAACTTTTCTTGGCAATTTAGGCTATAGATCAAGCAACCATTCTCCATTCAACATATAATTCAGTCCATGGAAGCTGAAACGTGTGGCTTCATCCATTAAGAGTGCAGGGTATTAGTTTTCCTTATCCCTAAACTTTGTCAGTCTCCTTGAAAAGAAACTAGTGTTACAGTTTATTTTTTTGGCATGAAGCTCAATCAAATGGTGATACTCGTGCTAAATCCTCCTTGGTCTTCCAATGAGGGGCTTACAAAAGGTGGTAGACCTTTGAAGGGTTTAGGGTTTTTGACATACACTGAAATATTGCATGCTTTTGAATTGATTTACTTGGCATTATCTAGTTTTCAAGCCCAGACGTTCATAATTTATTTGTCGGTCTATGATTAGCTCATTCTTCAATGCATCATAATTGTTGATTCTGCTGCAACCGAGTCAATAGTTGACATATTTCATGTTAAGCCTCAAGATCAAAACAGGAATTGCTGCATGTTACCAGCAACATGGAGGAATGCACTATGTAATCTTAACATATTCATTTTTTAAAATGGCATGGCTATGAAATTTGATTTTTTCTAACATCCTTGGTGTCTTTGTGCTGAATAGGTACTGTAACCATTTTACTTTTAAAATATCATTTTGGCATGTTTATGTACTTGATTGCTGACATCTGAAATCTGTTGTTTCAATTAAGGTCAAAGTGGGCAGGACATATCACAGCTGCTGTGTGGTCGTAAAGAACATGCAGAGATGCGTCTATGCAATCCCCATTGGTTCTCTGTTTGAGAACGACACAATTGTTAAACTTGAGAAAGATGCCGGAGAATCTCGAATTTCACCAACAACTTTTCGTACTAAGCTACATGTAACTTGTCTCATTTTTTCTTTGTAGCTTTTCTTTAATATGTAATATGAAGTTTGGTGTGCTTGTATGCTTGCTTTATGTTTTCCTTCTGTTGGGGTGTTTCATTGTTTTCTTTTTTCAGGAGATGGCATCAGAATTAAAGACTGAAATAACAAAACAGTTACTAGAACGTAATGTTTCAAGTTTCAGCATGGCTCCTGTCAAGGTTTGGACATCATTCAACTTCGTGTGTCCAAAAGTGCAATTTTTGTCAACTTTTTCACTGCTTAAGTTTTCCTTGCTTTTTGTGCTACTGTTTATTACTCATTCATTCTCTTCGGTGAATTTTTCCGCAGAGAAATTATGCATTTGAGCGATCTGACATACCTCTTGGGGAGAATTACATCCTTAAAATCAATTATCCATTTAAGGTATATTATTACTCGTGTATGCTAAGTCAATGAGGTGACGAGACCACTAAATTTTGCATTGAGACTGTCAACAGTTTTTGTAGTTGCTAAAATGCAACTCAGACATATTAGTAACTATGCTCTGTGTTGCTGTGAGAGCGTATGCATTTCATACTCATCTAATTTTTCTTTTTTATTTTATTATTTGGCTTGAGCTCCTAAAAGTACTACTTGGTGCTTCTGTCATTGTAGGACCCGCCACTACCGACAGATCTTAAGGGAGTAACTTTCTGTGCTTTGCTTGGAACTCACTGCAGGTATACTTATATACAGAGCTGTTTTTGTTCTGTTTCACGTGCATATCTTACTGCGAATGTTTTTTGTTTAGAGCATTTATGTAAGTTTGTTTGCTATCCTCTTGGTCAGAACTTGCATACGTATGTAATGTGCCTAGATTGCCAAACTGTGTGGATGCTGTGTTGTAAAATTTTCAAAACTATGGGTATAACTAATATGTATTTTGGTTTGTTTTAAATGGAGTAATGATAGTTTTTATGGAAATTTGTGAAAAGTCTTAAAAGGCAATCCCACATTGGAAAAGTGAGAAGGAAAAGAAGCATTTATTAGTCGACAACTATCACATGCTTGTATTTTAACGCCAAGTGTACTAGTATGCACGAGGGTGCACACTAGGATAGTGCAAAGAACCATCTGCGTGCACGTTGCGTGGGCTATAGGGTGCTAGAGGCACATTGTGGCACTTTAGGGGCACACTTAGCACGTAAGCATTGTAGCGATGGGCTATCAGATCATGGCCATTGATGTAATTGAATGGTTGATTTCACAAATAGAAATGATTGGATGGTGGATTTCATGTCTGATCATTTGATAGTGATCAATGATCAGATTACATTTAATAATGGCAAGATCTAGACTGTAGATTGGTAAGAGGTGTGATCGGATGGTTATATTTAAACTAGAAAGTGTCTGTTAAAATGTGACTGTTGGTGGCAGTTATAATTTAAATATTGCAATGTCTGTTAATTAACAGACATGTCTTTTTGTTCTTGAACAACCATCATACCTATTCAGTGGCTATCTAAACAGACACTAAAGGGCCTATAAATTGGCAAAATTCTATCATTCTAACTGACTAACAATTTCCTGCTAAGTTTCTCTACCTAAGGCTTAATTTCTACTCATCATTATCATTTTCTTCTTCCTGGAATATGTTATCTGCAAAACAGAGTTCCTAGTGTCAAACTAGAGAAATCTGAAGGTATTCTGGTTTGACTTTGTTTGAGCATTACACAGTCAATCATCATATTCGATTCTGGGCTTTATTGGATCCCAAACTCAAATTCGATGTAACCTGGTACACAACTTTTTACCAGAATTGGTGGGGGCAAATATTGTCTTAAGGAAAATGACTCAATAATATTCTTTTTTTCATCTCAAATTCTGCCCCAACTTGCTGAGATTTCTGTTATCGTTGATTGTTGTCTAATCAACCAAGTGAAAATCAAACTTTAGTTGGAATCCATCTGGTCCAATNACTCAATAATATTCTTTTTTTCATCTCAAATTCTGCCCCAACTTGCTGAGATTTCTTTTAGCGTTGATTGTTGTCTAATCAACCAAGTGAAAATCAAACTTTAGTTGGAATCCATCTGGTCCAATAGTCTTTTAATATGAACAGGCCCCCTCCCTAATCAGCGTTTATTGGTGTTGAATCAGCCATGTCGAAATTGAACTTTAGTTGGTATCCATTGCTTTTTTTTTTTTGGGGGGGGGGATTGATAGTTAGCTTATTTGATGGAGTTACTACATGCCAATGGATTGATAGAATGGATAAGTATTAATAAGTTCATAGCTTGTGGCCTTATCTGATACTATTATCAAAACCCCACCTGCCTGTTGCGCATCTAAAAATGTTGGAAGTGTTGGATTCTGCGTGTCTTTGTAGATGCATGGAAAAACTAAATCCTTTTAACCAAACCTATCCAGATTGTAGGCACAGCAGCTCCCAACAGCTTCCAATCTTCTAGAGATAATAAAGCTTATAGTCCTCCGTTTATTCTGCATGTTGTTCTCTCTTGTTTTTTTTCCATCTTTCTTTCTGATTCATATGTTTTCTAAATTGTTTTGTACCAAGTAACTGACATTTTCTGTTAGGCTTTTGGATTTTTTAGTTCAATATCCTGATTTATACTATTTCTGCTTGGACTTATTGTCCATGGTTAATTAACTTTAAAAGGAGGAATTTCCCTCTTATATTTTCAGTGACTACTTATCTCAGACATTATTACACTGAATTTCATTGATGTAGAGAATGTGTTAAATTGTCACTTCTAATAATCAGATTTAGAATGTTAAATTGTCACTTCTACTAATTTCATTGATTGAAGTTTCTGATTTTATGTTCTTGTCTATGTAGGAATGTTGTGCTTGCTTTGTATTTCGTGTGGACTACTTGTTCACTCCTGCATTCACTTTGTACTAATTTTTTGTCATTAATAAAATCATACCTATCCAAAAAAATAAATAAAAAATTAGATTTAGAATAAACTATTATGCTTCTTGAAGCTTTCAGTGAATTTAGCTTTACAGTTGGAAACAGACTTTTAAAATTTCCTTTGATAAGGAGAACTAATGTTAGAGTCATTGCCTAGTTCATTAGTAAAATATTGGGCAAAAATGGCAAGGTTGTGGGTTTGAATCTATGGGTAGCCACGTTGTGCATCTATTGCCAAAAGTTAGGTCCAGTCACAGCTCCTAGCACCTGTGATTACGGGGACAAACCTGGGTAATGATTTGATTTTGTTTTGTTTTCTTTATCTGATAAAAGGAGAACAAAATTTTTGGACTGCGTAATAGATTACTAGATTAGGTTTGTTTCATCGAAGGTTATGCTTTCTTTGTTTGGGGCCAGACTTCTTGGATCAAGTCAAAGATTTGAATACTGGCTATCTAAATTTCGTAAGCTCGAGGATTCTGCACTTTTCCAATTGACTATCGTTCAAATTACCCTGATGTTTACTGCAACTGGGGACCAAATTCACTAGGCTTGAAATTAACTTCGGTGTCTGCTGTGCAAGTGTGTGACTTTATCTTCGTTAAGAACTTTTACTTTACTCAATTTTTATGGATGGTTAGCTACCCACATGATGGTTACCTATTTTGGCGAAGAAGGAAAACTGATTTGCATCATTCTTTGCAGTGCTTTGGAGCTGTTTCTTATCAAGAGGAAGATAAAAGGACCTTCGTGGTTATCAGTTTCAAAATTCTCCAGCTGTCCAGCTCCTCAGCGTGTGAGGCTTCCAACTCTGTTTGTCTTGTCATTTAAAGGATTCTCTGATTGATTACTTAGGCACTTTAAGAGTACTTTTATCAAACCGGCTTGGTCACATGCTGGACAGGTAAGCTGGTGCAAATTTGAGGTTACTGTTGATTGTCCAAAGGATATCCAAGTGTCAACTTCCTCAAAGAATAGTGCAGAGATTCCTCCAGTGGTTGTTACAGCATTAAATCTGAAAACCTTCATTAATGAGAAACAGAAAGTCAATGAAATTGTCTCTGCATCTGCAATCTGTTGTCATAAGGCCAAGGTACACTACCTGTAGTTTTCTAGTGCGATGGATTTCCTCCTGATCAAACTGGCCGACAGTTAGTCCTCAATTTTGAATATGCATATTGCTGTCTTTATGTTGTATATCTCATTGATGTTGTGCTATTACCTTTGTTGGTTTATATGCCGACTTGTATCCAATAAATGTTATCTTGGACTATTCATCATGGATTTTTTAGTGATTTGCATTCTTTGCCATGGTTGATAAACCTTGGAATAAACGTGAGTGAAAAAGGGATACTCAAACTAAGAGTAGAGTCCCGTATATATAGTCAAATAATAATACAAAGTGACCTAAATATCCTTATGGTCTAGGCAAAATATAAAGTCATAGGAAGGGTAAAAAAGGGAAAAGAAATCCTAATAAATTAGACTATACTCCAACACTCTCCCTCAAGTTAGGCGCAAAAATATCAACTAAGCCAAGTTTGACAACGGAGTTCCAGAGAATGAATAGAGTGACAGGTTTGGTGAAAACATCAGTAATCTGATTACTGGTCCCTACAAATAATGGAGTGACAATATCACATCGAACCTTTTCCCGAAGAAAGTGAACATTGATCTCTATATGTTTCGTCCGTTCGTGTAATATAGAGTTAGAAGCGAGTTGAATAGCAGATCGATTATTATAATATAATGTAGATGAAGAAATCACTGGAAATCCCAACTCGCCAAGAATTAATCGTAACTAGATAATCTCACATGTGCCAAGTGTCAGTGCTCGATACTCTGCCTCTGTTGACTAACAAGAGACAACTGTCTGTTTCTCGCTCTTCCAAGAGATAAGATGAGTCCCTCGAAAAGCACAAAAGCCCGTAGTAGATCGACCAATACATGCTCCCCTATAATCTGAATCTGAATAACAGGCTGGAGAACTAGTCTGAGATCTTGATGCATAGAATGACCCAAGTCCAAGACAAGACTTGAGGTACCGAAGAATATGATAAACTGCATCAAGATGAGGCTGACGCGGCTTGTGCATGAACTGACTAATTCAGCTGACAGCGAATGAAATGTCTGGCATGGTGTTGGTTAGGTAGATAAGTCTACCTACTAACCTCTGATAGACAGTTGGATCTTTCAACTCCTCACCTTCATCAGTAATCTTCAGGTTTGGAATCATGGGTGATGATACCGGTTTGCACTCCAGCATCCCAGTGTCTGAGAGAAGATCCATAACATACTTCCTTTGAGAAAAAACAATACCCCTGCTGCTACGAGTAACCTTAATCCCAGGAAAGTATTGTAGAAATTCAAGGTCCTTCACATCGAAGGCCTTCCCAAGGTCTACCTTGACATGCACAGTCCCAGAAACATCATCTCCAGTAATAATAATATCATCAACATTAGGGATGTCAATGGATCGAAGTAGAGGGGGGGTATAGTCTTCATCCCCGTACCCGCTTAAAAAACCTTTGTCCATCCCCGGTCCAGTTCCGCTAATTGGTATAATTTTTATTCCTTTCCCTGTCCGCAGATAAATTTATAATTCCTGTCCCCGTATCCGCTTCCCCCGTACCCGCTCAAGCACAAGCAAGTCATAAGAATTAAAATAACTAAATTTTTTTTTTGCTATGATCGGAATAGAAGATGTAACAATATAAAAAATGTCTTCTTTTCTTTGCACTCAATTATGTTGAAACAAGGAAAATTATTTTGAGAGATAATTATCTACAATTCCATGGAAATTGCTATGGTCTGTTTCAACAAGGCCATGACCTGCATAATGTTCCAAAAATATTTGCTAAATTGACAGAAAGAAGGGAACCCATAGATATGTCATCTATGTGTTCTGAAATTATGACATCCATTAATGACATCACACATGGAATGCAAGTAAAGGATGATAAAAGCCCAATGTAAAAGGTATTTATGGTTCTGGAACTTTTAATAAAATTTATAAACACACCTATGCCAAGAAATTTCATCTGGTGAACTCCTCTTTAATTTTAAAAAAAATACAGAATGTAATGAAGAAGTAATTGATCAATGTAATGACCTATACGTGATTTTACCCCAAGCCAAATTGTTCTTTCAGTAAGTAAAGAAGCCTTTACGTGATCAATGTAATTACCTATATGTGACCTATATATATATATTTAACAGGTAACGGAGACGGGGCGGGGGTAAGTGTAAGTCCATCCTTGCCTTCATCCCCACACGGGTTTATACTGGTATTTCTGTATACGTCCACCGTCCAATACGTATAGTCCATCCCCGATCTAAATGGGACGGGTTTGGACGAATACCCGTTTTTTTTCGGTCCACTACCTTCCCTAATCAACATATACCAAAAAGATGACACACTGTCCAGAAGTATTTCGTTGAATAAAGTAGGTATGATCAGAATGACATCTGGTAAACTCTAAACGTACAACTACGTCACTAAAGCGAGAGAAACAGACTCGTGGTGACTGTTTTAGTTCATAGAGAGACTTACGCAGTCGACATACCTTTTCAGTATACTCCCCTTCACCACGAAAGCCCGGTGGTGCATCCATATAAATAATCTCGTCTAAATCACTATGAAAAAATGTATTCTTCATATCCAACTGATGAAGAGGTTAAGAGTACTTCACAGCCAGAGAAATAATTAATCGAACAATAGTCAATTTTGCCACGAGGGCAAAGGTAGTACCAAAATCACAACCTGGTACCTGAGTAAAGCCCTTTGCCACAAACCTAGCCTTGTGACGACCAACAATATCATCTGCAAGAAACTTTAGGTTGTAAACCCAACAACAACTAACAGGCTTCACCCCTGAAGGTAAGAGACAAGATTACACGTATGATTACACTGAAGAGCGTCCATCTCTGTTTGCATGGGAAGAATCCACAGGGGCTCTTGTATAGCCTCTGAAACAGAGCGAAGAACTGGCGTATCTGATAAGGTCATACTATAAGCTCAAAATATAGGAGAAATATCACCGTAAAAAACATAAGCAGAGATCGAATATAAAGTCTTGGCGGTCTAGCCATAACGAACAATTGGACGGCGATCAAGCTGTGGATACCTCGCTATGAACATAAACCTGTAAAGGAAGAGAGACTAGTGACTTTGTACTAACAGGGAAGAGTGGCTCTGCAGGAGGAGAGACTGATGACTCTATAGTGATAGTGATCAATGGCTCTGACTCCTATGGTAACGGAAAATCAAAAGGAGTATCATCAACTAGAGGGGCAGACACAAGACTGGAAGAAAAATAAAGAATGTGCTCAAGAAAGGTAACATCTAGACGATGATATATACGGCGTCTGACAGGATCATAACACCGATACCCCTTTGACTGATGACAATAACCCACAAAGTCATAACGAATCGTTTTATCATTAAGTTTATGACGAGTAGGAGACCGATCCTGAACAAAATATGTACAACAAAAAACACTAGGGGGGACCGAAAAAAGTGTCTGCTCAAGAAATAAGACTTGTAAGGGAGCCCTATGCTGAAGAACACGACTCGGTTTATGATTACACAAAAAAGATAGAAGTCAAAGCAATAAAATGCCAATAAGATTTTAGAACTCCCATACCTCTAAGCATACAACGTACCATCCCTATTAGACTCTTATTTTTTTTTCAGTAACTCTATTTTGCTCAAGAGTATATGGATAAGTGAGCTGCTAAAGGATATCCTGAGAGGAAAGGTGAGACACTAAGGTATCGGACACATATTCTTTGGCATTATCCGAACGAAGAGTACAAACAATAACATCGAATTGTGTCTTAATCATTTGGAGAAACTGAGTGATGACAGGGAGTACATCAAACTTCTTATGTAAAAGGTAGACTCAAGTACAACGTTTATGATCATCTATAAATGTCACATAGTATTGAGCACCTGATAGAGTAATAATAGGAGAGGATTCCCAAATATCAAAGTGTAGGTCAAATGGCTTGGGTACTGGTGCATGCGAGGAACATAACTAGTCTGAACATGTTTCGAAAGGGAATATATAACACAGTCAAGTTTACCATTAACACAAGCATTGCTCAAAGTAGGAAATAACATACATAAATATTTAAAATTTATATGTCCAAAATGGTCATACCACAAATGAACAGTTTGTGATGAAAAATCATAACGACAAGTACTAGGCAAAATACTAACATGCAAGCTAGGAACAGATAAAGACAAAGCAAGTGATGGAGGTGGATCGCCTAGATAATACAATCCATCTCTCTCATGTCCCTCGATAATAATCCTCTTGATACTCAGGTTCTGCAAATAACACGAATCAGATAAAAACACAACCGTACAGTGAAAATCTCTGGTTAACTGATGTACGGATAATAGATTCATGACCAATTTTGGCATATGAAAAATCGAATGTAATGTAAAGCCATCTGGGAGGCGGACTGTGCCCCTACAAACAATAGGGACATGTGTCCCATCTGCTAGTTGAACTTGTGTGTGTAACTGCTCGTCAAAAGTGGTGAAGTGATGGGCCTCACTTGTCATATGACCATTCGCACCCGAGTCCAACATCCAAGGGAAGACGGATTGACGTAAGCATGAAAGGCACGAGGTATACCGGTAGAGGTGGCAGTAGCAATAGTCAGACCCTAGGAAGTCAGGGCGGATATAAGTATATTCATTCAGAAAATAATAGCATCTATATCACTCTACCAGGGAGGAGCAGCAGCAGCTAGCGAACCACATAAACCAATTATACAACTGACAACCACAAACATATACCACTGACATATACCATTAGCAGTATATACCGACAGCCACCCATACTCCACAAACCACCGACCCACATACTCCACCTATACAACTGACAACATACTCCTACCAACATACTCCTCCCTCAATTCATAAAGCACCAACCCCATCAAACCAACATCGACAAACAACATCCCAGTTTTAAAAAGCAGCAACCCCAGCAACCACCACTGCCCACTGCCTGCAACGACGACCAAACAATCCAAAGCCGATTGCACCCACATACCACCTGCAATCTAAAACCCAAACCAAATAGTAATTCTATTTTGCTTAGGAGTATATGGACAAGTAAGCTGCTGAAGATGATGAGGCTGGATGGTGATGAAGGTTGCTGATCGCCGGTGAGAATGATCGTGAAGGTTAGGGTTAGGGTTAAGGTATAACTCTGATACCAACTTGGAATAAACGTGAGTGAAAAAGGAATACTCAAACTAAGAATAAAATCCCGTATATACACTCAAATAATAATACAAAGTGATCTAAACATCTTTGTGGTCTAGGCAAAATATAAAGTCTTAGTAAGGGTAAAAAAAGGGAAAAAAAAACCTTAATAAACTAGACTATATTCTAACAATAAATTCTTTGGTGGTGTTGTATTAAGGTTACATAATCTGTAAGTGCCTTTTGCTGAGGGATGAGGCAATATAATAATTGTGATCCTATTCTTTAAGATAGTCAAACCTTTTTCTTCTACTTCAATTATGTAAGCTTATTGATGCTGCCCATAAATCTTACTGTTTTTGTTCTCTAGGTTTGATAGATTGATTGTTTTATCGTTAAATCTAACGATTTGGTCTCACAAATTACCTCTCCACAAAAAAGAAATATCCATTATGGATTGTACAAGTATGCAAATGAAGCATAGTGCATTAGATGATTTGCCCGCTTTTGTGATGTTGAATCATTTTTCTAGCAGCTTCCTGGATGAATTTCTTTATCATTGTTTCAAAAATGTAGCCAGATAAATTGAAGTTTCCAGGGTGAGCTTGAGTTGAAATATACTTTCCTCATTTTTTTTTTCAAAACCTGTATATTGGTTGTTATCAAGTCATAATTTGTGACTTGTTCCCTATAAAGTCCTTGCTTAAGAATGAAACATGTTAAATTTAATGTATTCCTTTTGATTAACGTGTTGTATTAATATTAGCTACTAATTCCATTTCTGGACCTTTCAGATTGACACTCCAATGTTAGCCTCTGAATGGAAAAGAACTGGCATGCTTAGCCATTTTACAGTACTGCGTAAGCTTGATGGAGGCATATTTCCAATGGGATTTACCAAAGAGGCAGCAGATAGAAATTCAAAGGCGGGATCAAATGTCATTAGTTTTGAAAGCAGGCAGGTTTCATTTGTAAATCATGCCCTTTGTCAAATTATATTGTGCTGCTTAGTTTTTTAGATGTCAACTTATCTGGTAATAATCCTTTTTTTTAACAGTTCCAGTCAATGAAGAGCTTCTTCCTCCTAATCTATCTCCCCCTCTCTATAATATTGCAGTGAAAGAGCTTTGTTGAACCGTTTCCTGATTGAATTACACAAATTGGATAGCGATGTACTTGTGGGGCACAATATATCTGGGTTCGACCTGGATGTTCTTCTTCACAGAGCTCAGGTGGTAATTTTGAAGCAGTGCTTTATTTATTTTTCTAAGCTATGTGGGCTACATGTTCTTTTCTGTATCCTTAAAAAGTTGTAAAAATTATGGAGAACCTAATAGCACTGTACCATTTTTTATCTATCTGGGTATAACTGTGATACATTCCAGTCAGATGTCTATCTTAAAGCATAAAAAATGGGCTGACAGTGCTGATAGGATGCAGTTTCACTTTTGTATATATGATGTTGGTGTGTTGGAACTCTGTTTTGCAATTGAGATTTTCTCAAGAATCCCATGTTACAACTTACAAGTAGTGACTTTGGATCTTTTCACCATTGTGTGATGATCCAAATGCATGCAATTCTCGAAAGCAGTGCTTGTCTCCATAAATGATCTGCTGTTGTCCCTAAGACATCTTTGTACTTTTTATTCAATTTTATAGGCTTGCAGAGTGCCTAGCAATATGTGGTCCAAACTAGGCCGTCTCAAGCGCTCAGTCATGCCTAAGCTTACCAAAGGAAACACCACTTTTGGTTCCGGAGCAAGTCCAGGGATCATGTCTTGCATTGCCGGCAGGCTTTTATGTGATACCTTTCTGTGTGCTCGTGACCTATTAAAAGAGGTATCTATTTTAGCTGCTAAATCATATTGTGAAAGTGCTTGGTAATCTTGGTATAGTTTGATCTCATAGTCAGAATTTGTCTGTTCCAGGTTAGCTATTCTCTAACACAACTTGCAAAGACTCAGCTAAACAAGGATCGGAAGGAGATTGCTCCACGTGATATTCCAAGGATGTTTCAGAATTCCGGATCCCTTCTGGAACTTGTAAGTTCTATTGCTTAATTTAATTACTTCACAAGGTATCTCTTCAGTTTTCTTTTGTACTGATAAATGTCATGGTTGCAAAAGACAATACATTTAGCTGATTTTCAAAGTATCCCTGTTTTCTCTAATAGTGTGTCATCATTGTGTGAACTGTGGTGGTCTCATTGTGTTTGCATCACTCTGACCAAGTTAGCCTTGAGCTCCTCTGAGAGCATAAGAAACTCAAGTTTGTATCTAATTCCCAGATGAGCCAATAGTAGCACACTATATCATCTTAGCCTTATAATTTTAACTTTTTATCCTTATGGAATGGTCACCTGGTCAACTTGCCACCTATGATTGGAAAGTGTTGCTGCCCTTTTTGGAGTAAGGGTGGTAAATTTTTTGTGCTGTATCTATTGTGTGCAGATAGAATATGGTGAGACAGATGCATGGTTATCAATGGAACTCATGTTCCATTTGAGTGTTCTTCCCCTCACACGTCAGTTGACTAACATAAGTGGTAATCTCTGGGGGAAAACTCTGCAGGTAAGTCATTGCAATGTGCTTCTACTAATCTGCCATCTTACAAAGTCCGTATGTGGGAATCATCAATTAATTAGAATTTCTCTACATCTGATACATGTGATTCCAGGGTGCTAGGGCCCAAAGAGTAGAATATCTCTTGTTGCATGCGTTCCATGCGAAGAAATTTATTGTTCCCGACAAGTTCTCTTCTCAGTTAAAGGTTTTGAAAGTGACAAAACGTAAATTGAATCATGATGCTGAAGACAAAGCAATTGATGATTTGGATGTTGATGATGCTGAGATTGAGTCTCCACATAATGAACAAGAGAAAACGAGAAAGGGGCCTGCTTATTCGGGTGGATTGGTGTTGGAGCCAAAAAGAGGTCTATATGATAAGTATATATTACTTCTGGACTTCAACAGTCTCTACCCCTCCATCATTCAGGTTGACTATACTTCCTTGCTCCCTCCATCCCTCTCGTCCCTTCCTTTGTCATTTAGCTTGTCATTTCTTTAATATCTTCTTGCTGAATTGATGTTGATTGGTGCTGTTTTGTGTCATGTGTCATGCATTTATACTTCTGTTCCAACAGGAGTACAATATATGCTTCACAACTGTTCAAAGATCTCCGGATGGATCTGTTCCCCGCTTACCATCTAATAAAAGGCCTGGACTGCTACCTGAGGTATATAACCTTATGATGATGCATTTTTGTCTATAATCACCTTGAAGATATCAAAAACTTCGATGCAGTTGCACCTTAGTGAGTGATAAAATTATCAAATTTCAGCCCCGAGGGTTGGTTTGTGTCAAGATTTTTAGCTTTAATGAAATTCCTTATTAACTGGCAGTTTGATGAAAACTGCATATTGTGTAAGCCAGTCTTTGCTTATATATGCGACTTGGACCTTCATGATTAAATGCTTATCCAAAGCAGAATGTTGCTGAATCTTTTGGCCAAGAAGGTACAGTTACACGTTTAGTCCTGTGAAGACGGCAGTTATACTCATTTGGTCGCCACTGATGGTAGCTTATGCATTTAGCTAACACCTTTCTTGGACCAAAAAAATGCAAAAATGCTCTATGCAAGCGTAAAAAAAGGAAGATGAGGTAGTTTATTAGTGATACTGTAAAATCTCACTTTATGATCTATATGCAAATGCAAAACTTTTTTTTTTTTTGTTCAACGGTCAAGGGTGTCTGGTTAGCTTACGTGCACCTTGACTAATTCCCTTTCTGGTTTGGTTAAAGATAGGCCATCTATACTAGAATTAAGGTATTTATAAGGGATAAATCCCTCGTGGCCTGACTCCAAGGGTTGTCAAGATTCGAATTTAAGACGTCTGGTTTACAACTTGTCCCTATTATCAGTTGAGCTACCCCACGGGGTTGAAGACACAAAACCTTTTATCCCTTATTCAATCTTCCTCTGTGTTTGATGGTTGGAGGGGAGGTAGGCTCGGTAGTCCATAAATTATTGAACTTTTTTTCTTTTCGTCAAAACCTTATCTATTATCTAAGTCTATTGAATCCAATTTTAAAGAACAGCTGGCATAACAAATATGAGATTACTTTTTTTTTTTCGAGGCATTACCAAGCCTTTCCTTTCCTTCCTTAAATTTTTATATATATTTTGATTGAGTAACCTGTTTTTGAACATCAATTGCCTATTACTTTTTCAAAAGATCATGGGTAAGGTAAAGTTTGAAGGATAAAACTAGGTGACAAAAAAATGGTCTTGGTAGAAGACTATTTAAGCTCCACATAAATATGGTGTGAAGTTAAAGACGCATTTTTTGCTAAATTAATTGGAGATTTTGTCATCCTGTTGGCTGTTTCTGCACGCCGTTTACTGAACCATAACAATGTAATGCAGGACCAAATAGAATTAAAGAAGAGAAAAAATTCCAATTATTCTCAAAAGTAATCTCTAGGTATACTAAGCCTGGTATTTATAGGCTTCTCAAAATGGTTCAAAAAGGAACTGAACAAAACTAATTGCCAAAATAATAAAGAAATTACGTAATTCAGTCCTAAATCATAAAATGATACTAAATACAATTCATAGCCCCCAACCTTCAATCGTGCATCATCCAATCCCTTTGCATTCCCCATCACGATGTTTGCTTATTACTGACTTGTGCCGTAATACCACCATGGTCCGAATTTCAATCCTAATTTCCTGTAAGTGCCTGCCAGCATATTCGCTTGCTTACCAGATTAAAAAAATGCAAAGAAAAGTTTCTTGTGTTGACAGCTGCATAGTGGCACATAATCATAAAGGGAGATGAGTAAATGTTTTGATTATTAAATGTGTATTCAGATCGTGGAAGATAGATACTAGTTGTGTATTCCCTATAATTTGAGACTGAATGAATATTTTACACTGAGAAGAATGATTCTGAACATCGTTGCTTTACCTTCCGAGACCATCATTACATTTTGTTTTCTGCCTTTTTCAGAAAAAAAGAATGTGTTCGTCTATTCCCTACATATTGGACCTCTTATTTCTTTATCTTGATTTCTTTTGCAATATAGAAATGCATAAGTTTCCTTTATAGATTGACATGTTTTTTTGTAGTTGCTGAAAAATTTGGTTGAGAGAAGGAGAATGGTGAAGTCATGGTTAAAAACTGCATCTGGTCTGAAGGTCCAGCAGCTTGACATACAACAGCAAGCGCTGAAGCTCACTGCAAATAGGTGTGTTTATTGCTCATGCTGTTTTTTGTTCCTTTCACTATAGTTATCTTTGGTTCTTCATGGTTTTGTTTTCTTCCCCCTTCAACCCTCCACCTATCTGTGGGCTGCAACATGTATGGATGCCTGGGGTTTTCCAATTCCAGATTCTATGCAAAGCCACTTGCAGAGCTTATAACACTACACGTAAGAAATATGTTCTTATGGTAGAATTGCAAT